GCTAAATAGAAATATAACCTGCTTTACCTTGTGATTCCAGTTTTGTGTCCTCCAGCTAGTCTCTTACACAGGGAATGTCTGGGCATTGCTAGAGATAGTAGTAATTATTTATTATTTATTTATTTATTTATTTATTTATTTATTTATTTTGCATTTAGACAAAGGCAGAGAAAGGCTTAGTCTATAGGAAGTCTCACATCTCTTTGAGCATTTTGGAGGGTTGGGTACCCAAAAGTGCTTCCAAAAATGTACCACCAGATTCCTTCCCAAGTGCTCCCTGTTGCCTCTTAGCTCTCTAACATTGCTTGCTCCCTTCTGACAGGAGAGGACTTTCTAGACTCTCTAACTGCTGAAGTGGTTCTTAAACTTTGAGAACTTTAAAGCATTGGTCAAAGTGGAAAAAGCACAGGATTTGAGACAATGACCTGAGTTCTGAGTTCGAAATGCATATTTAACACTTGTTCTGGAGTAAGTCACTTAACATATCTGTACCATAATATAATCATCATTCTAAGAATTAGTTAATACAACAGATCTGAACTTGCTTGCTCACCTATGAAAGAGTTTAGAAAGAGAAAATTTCGTTTATTCATTCATCCAACTAGGAACTATTGGAGGCCTATTTGTGCCTAGTCCTCTGTTAGATGTTAGGGATAAATAATGAAAAATATATCTGAAGTCTCTGTTCTTAGAGAGCTTAGTTTCTAGTGCAGAAAATAGGTAATAAACTAGCCAACAAATATATGGACATGATTGTGAACAAATAACTATAATTTCTATAAAGGAAGCCAATATAATGATGAATTGGAGAATAACTGGGTGGAAGCACTGGACTGAACTATGAATAGAGTTGTTGTCATCTAAGTTTGATTCTAATTCTTTATGCCTGGATGCCCCTCTTATCTCCGTGGTCCAAGAAACTAGAGAAATGGAATTCACTTTCAGGTGCAGGGAGAGGCTTGTTCTAAGCCAGCGAGGTAATTCCAGCCCAATGGATGGCAGCTGGTAGCAATCAGCACCAGCCGTTCTTCTGTTTGCTCTTATTTGTTCTCAGGAGACTCAGCTCAGACGAAGGGAAAGCCCTTGAATACAAGGTCACTGGAGTGCTTTCTCCTCTCCCTTGGTGATGGAGGGAGCAGGCTCCCAGTGTTATTTACAGCCCACTTCTGACCACCGGGGAAACCAGCTCTGGAGCAAAGCCAGCAGTGTGGCTTTCAGAGGGAAGAGACAGAAAGATAATCAGTCCCTGTGACATTGCTGAGTCCTTGAATCAGCCAGGCCTAATGCTCAACTTCACATTTTGTGATTTAATGTTGCTCTTTCTGGTTTAGTCCACTTTGAGTCACGGTTTCTGTTGCTACAGAGAAAAGCATTCAAGATAAGCACCACAGAAGAAAACATTGCACAGCTTTGAAAGAATGAGAACAAGAACAGAATTTCCCTCATCTTACTAGCAGATCCTAGAAAAATTTCTTAGCTGTTAGTGCTATCAGAGTTTTTAGGGTCAAACTTAGGCTCTAGCAACCCTAACAAATGTGGCTCAGCCACCTATGGGCAGTGCACCAATTAAACAGATAATCAATAGTGAAAAACAGTGAAAAGAGATTTATTCAATGTGGCCATGCTGGGAAGACTAGATGAAAGAGACACAGTGCCCCCCCCCCATCATTGTCCACCTTAGGTTTAGATTTAAATAGATGGCAGGAGGTATGTGTAACAAAGCAGTTTGGGTCAAGATGTGGTTCCCACCCATCACTGACCCATCATTGCCTGGGATCCAGTCTCTCCTGAAATATGGTCTGACAAGGTATCAGAACTGAGTGAAACCTGTTTCTGGGAGACAAGTTCCTCCTCTGGCTGGCATCAGGTTTCAGGCTTTTCCTTCTTCCAGCATAAGATTCCTGGGGAAATTCCAACACTTCATCTGATAGCCAGAAGGAAGAACACAGGTGTCGCTCTTGAGAATATTGTTTTTCCTTCCAGAATGGCTACATCAAAGGAGGCAGATAGGAGGCAGAGGGGTACATGAGTAAGTTGAGAAAGACTTGTGAACACATCAGGGGACTAACTCCTCAGTGTAAAGTCAATGGTGATTTTGTAGATGACTGCAGGGCAGGCCAATCAGGTCGAATGGGACTCACTGCCATGTCCCAGAGAAGTTTCACCACCAAGACCCAGACAGGACAATTCCAAGGGCAGACTATGTATTGCATAAGATCTTCAGCAGTAGATATTAGCAACATTGGAATTTTACCAGGGGAGGGGAGGGATATCTGACTTGAAGTCATTGGGAGCTAGCAAAGAACAAGATTTGGGTCAGAATGCAAACCTCTATGTTCAACCATATTAGAAGGGAAGCTTAGGGTTGAGAGCCACTGGGAATGAAGAGACATAATCTCAGGAAAGCATTTGAATTAGAAGCAATTCATCATTCACCCAAATGAAACTGAGTTAATCTGCAAGGGGCTGATTAGAATGGCTGGGTAAACCTCATCATTTACTCTAATTTTCTGCCTATCCCTGAATCCATGTCCTTTAGTAGCCATGTTTATAATTTCTCTTTTTGATGAGGTGAAATCTAAGACAGAGGTCTCTTTGCATACTCTGTGGATGTGGGGTGGGCCACGTGACTTGTTTCAGTGAGTGTTACAAAGCTGAAACGCATCCCTAATGCAAGTGTAGGCCTCACATTGTTTTGTTTTCCTTGGTTCGCACTTTCATGTGAACCACCGTCCCCAAAACTTGCCCAGGCCTAAGAGCAGTGTGAACGAGAGCTGAATCATGCCAGTCATCCCCACAAGACCATCTTAAATCTGCAGTCACACATAGACAAAACACTCATACACATAAAAAAAAAAAATGGAACGGAGAGAAATCACAAAACTAGAAATAAGTGTGACATTAAACCAATGGAGGAAGTCAGAAAGGAATGGATTCCATGGAGTTCAGGGCCAGAAGAAAGAAGAGAGAAAAATCTCCTGGAAGAAACGTAAAAACAAGATAGTAGAGATAAATAAAAATACATCAGTATTTATAATATATAAAAACAAATTAGATAAAAGGTAGGGGCAATTAGATTGGTTAGAACGTGTGACTGGGGGTGTGGCTCAGTAGTGGAGCATGTAATTAGCATGGTAAGGCCATGGATTCAAACCCTGACAGCAAACAGTCAGCAAGTCCATCCATTTGTCACTTTTTATAAATGTAGTTAAGGGAAGAAGATGCAGAATGGTCAGAAATAAAGCAGGAAAAAGGCATTTGCTATATCAGGCAAATAGTGAGCAAAAAGAACTGGCATTGTGCATGGCAATTAAAAATATAAACAAAGAAGTAGAGAGGTGGCTCAGCAGTTAAGATCACCAGCTGCTCCTGCAGAAGACCCAGGTTCAGTTCCCAGCACCCACATAGTGGCTAAAAACTGTCCCTCACTCCGGTTCCAGGGGATCCAATGCTCTCTCTGGCCTCTGCAGGCATTGCTTGTCACAGGTGCCCTTGCATACATGCAGGCACAAAAGACACTCGTACACATAAACCCAGAAAAAGCCTACATATCTACAGCAAACCCAGAAAAAGCCTACATATCTATAAAACATGAGAAGGATAGATTATTATTCACATGATGGAATGTTCTATGTGAATGAGACAGAGCCACACGAATCAAAATAGGTAAAAGGAAACGTTGAGTGGAAAAAGAAATGACAAAATGTTATATTCCATTTGCTGACAGCTACATAAGAAGATACTTGTACACATTTCCCTATGCAGGTAGTGAAAACTTAAACCATCTGGATGGACTAGCACACCAGATTTATGACTGTTGGTCAGCTTGAGAGACGGGAAAAACAGAACAGAGACCAGGACAGAGCAGACTTTAGTATTTTCTACAACACTGTAGTTGTTTTAAGTAAAACTTTTGAATGAAGGCCGGGCATGGTGGCGCAGGCCTTTAATCCCAGCACTCGGGATGCAGAGGCAGGCAGATCTCTGTGAGTTTGAGGCTAACCTGGTCTACATAACGAGTTCCAGGCCCGTTGGGGTTACAGGAAGACCCTGTTTCAAAAGTATCCAAACTTTTGAATGAGGTGTAACTAACAAATGTTTGCTTCATCATTCTATGTAATTCTCTGTATTCTTCTTTGAGAGATTTCCCTTAAAACTAAGGAGTATTATCTCTTTCGGTGACAAAGTTCAAATTACACTTTCATAGCTAATACATAAATGAAAAGATGGTAAAATGTATAGTGCTTTGAGATACACTTTTGAGGTTTTAAAAATATTTTATTATTTTTATTTTATGTGTATGAGTTTATTGCCTATATGTGTGTAAGTGCATCTATGTCATGCAATGTCTATGAAGGTCAGAAGATGGTGTGGGATTCCCTGGAACTGGACATATGGGTGGTTACTAGCCACAATGTGGGTGCTGGGAATCAAATCTGGGTCCTCTGCAAGAGCAATTCGTGTTCTTAACCCTTGAGCCATCTCTCCAGGCCCAATTTTTGAGGTTTAATTTAATGTTAAATTTGTGTTCTTAAAAATATGTCATGACATAAGAAATATTTATGTAAAATTTTTGTAAAATTAATTAAACAACTAATAAAATTATATATATTCTTTATAGCTATATACTTGACAAATATGCATATAAAACCAATCTGCTCAATGGTTACTGGCATTAAAAGTAATATGAGCTCTTTTCTACAACATGCATGTATTACTTTAATATTAAAATTTTGTTAATTAAAGGAGACTGGCTTCACTATAATCATAGAAACTAACAGAAAACACATTGCTTAAAAAACACCAATAATTGCCTTCTTTGTAAAACTAACTGGCCAAGTATATACATGGATGCACTTTAGACATGATCCAGATCATAAATTCCTTCTTTTTAAGGAGATTTTATTTTTATTTATGTGGTATGTGTGTACACCTGTGCATGTAGGTGCCTGTGCAGGCCAGAAGACAGTGCTGGATCCTGTGGAGCTGGAGTTACAGGAGGAGGTTGTGAGCTGCTCGACATGGGTGCTGGAAACTGAACTCTGGTCTTCTGCAAGAGAAGCAAATGCTCTTAACTGCTAAGCCATCTCTCCAGCCCTAAGATCATAATTTTCTTTAGTTATCATCTGCTTGTCCCTTCTCACTGAGGGCACAGTTGCTATCAATTCAGGGTAGAGACAGTTAAATACATTAGATGGGCTGACTGACACAAACGCGTCAAGCTTAGTCCATACTACACCCAAGTACCACCAAGCATATGCACACTGTTGGCAATCTATGTTCTTTCTAGGACTGACATTACTGGTGGAGCATTGCCACCCATTCACCACTCAGGCGCTGCTGCATTTGGCCCCAGGATCCACCTCCTGGCTAGGAATCTTACTGCTTCTGGCTTTACAACAGGTGTTTTTCCCCCTCCAAGGACGGTTTCATTTAGTCTCAAACTTAACCAACTCCACTCAACATTTTTGACACTGAAACAAAGAACTTTATATTTCTCAGTGGATTACTCCATTTTTTCTAGCTCAAAGAGTACAATTTTCAAGGGAGTCTTCATCACTTCTAGCAATCTTGAGAAATAAACCCTGGAATTCTGGGGGCCCAGAAGCCACCAAATTCGAGGCTTCTTTGAGGTGTGGATGTAGAACATCAACAGCTTTCAACCAAGATCTCAAAGGAGCTTGCTCCTTCTCAGAGCAGAGATGGTCTCAGAAACTAGCCAGAACAGAGACCAAGAAATAAAGGTGGCCTGTCTTCGGGTGCTCAGGATGGTGACAAATGCCCAATAATGTTTTTACTTTCACTGATGAGATACCCATATATAATAAACAGCAGAAAAATATCTTCCTTCTAATAAGTAAGTAGAAAGACAAAGCTATATCTGCCTTCACAAAGACTCTTGGAAATTGGCCTCTATTCAACAGTAATGGTCTGAATCCCTGAGAATATTTGCATGTTTAAAACTTACCATAAGACTGACACTTTGAAAAAAAAATTTTTTCCTTTCATGAAATATAAGTTCTTCTTTGTCAGTACACGGAGGACTTCTAGAACTAAATGAAGCTTGGTTGATTTTCAGCATCTCCTACTGTCACAGTTTGTGCAAGAAATTAGACTTTATGGGCCCGGAATAGTGGAAAGGGACACCTGTTTTGTGTCCCACTTCTGTCTTCCAGCCAAGGACTTCTATGGATGCATGCCAGACTGTTAATTTAACGGGTTTCTTTGGATAGAATAGCAGACCAGGCCCTGGGCCCTGGCAATTCCCAAAAGAGAACTTATTTACTATATACCTTGCTTAGTTGAATACACGTTTCTTGCTGGAAAATGTTTATTCTTCACCTAAACACTTAAATTGTCTCTTTAGCGGAAGCATACATTTCTTTTATGACATCACAGACCCTACATTTACTTTCATCTAGGATGCTGCTTAGTGTGGGAAGCGGTGCGGTCGAGCCGGCCAAGATGGTGCCCTGGCTGGCTGCCAAGCCTCGTGACCCTCACTTGTTTGCTCCAACTCACGCAAGCACTGTAAGCTTGACCACGCGCAGCCTGTCTGACATGATACGTCACCGAGCACGATTCTATTGCGTGGCCCAATGATTTGCTCCTCTGCCTGCATGTTAGCCCCGTGCTCATGTCCTGATTGGCTCCGTGTGACAGTCTGATTGTGGGATGGATCTGATGAGGGTATATATTGTGGGATGACGAAGAATAAAGGAGAGAGAATTGCTTGAACCTCACCTTGGCGTCAGTGTTGTCCTTTCCTCGGCTCTGCTGGTCGGAGTCTTGGTTAGCGGCAGCTTAGTGTGTGTTATTGAAGCTTTACCATTTGATGCACATGTACCAGCTAAAATAGCAACTACAAAACTGTCAGTCAGTTAACAGACATTGAATTGGGGACAGTCTTTCAGTGGTAGAAACATTCATAAAAACAATTAGGAGCCGGGTGTGGTGGTGCACGCCTTTAATCCCAGCACTTGGGAGGCAGAGGCAGGTGGATCTCTGTGAGTTCGAGGCCAGCCTGGTCTACATAGTGAGTTCCAGGACAGCTGGGGCTACAGGGAGATCCTGTCTCAAAAAGACCAAAAAATTCCCCCCCCAAAACAAAAAACAATTAGGGTTTATGTAAGTAAAAAAAATCAATAAAATAATATGAGACTCTCAATGGAGTCCAATACATATGTAAAGCATAATCAAGAAATATAAAATTATATATATATATATATATATATGGGGCTGGAGAGATGGCTCAGTGGTTAAGAACACTGACTGCTTTTGCAGAGAACCCAAGTTTGATTCCCAGTATGAACCATCCTCTTACCTCCATCCAGGGGAATCGGAAGCCCTCTTCTGACCTCCGCAGCATTGCACTCACATACATGCAGGCAATACAGTCACACACATAAAATAAAAATAATAAAATATTTTTTAATTATATATAAAATATAAATGGATCTGATCTTTAAAAGGATGCAAAGATGTTATCAACTTCTGTGAAGTTAATGAATGCCATTGTCAAACAGATTATTATGATAGCTTATGTTATCTTATCATAAGATAGCATATCATAGAAATGGTCTATTAGGGTAAAAAATAAAGAGTATGTCCAGTCTGGTCTTCAGATTTTCTACTCCATACCAAAAAAATCAAGCTAGTTTAGTTTTCACTGATGCAACTCAAATATGATAGGACTCTTTGGGGGATCAGTGTGTGGCTTGGAAGGGCTTGTAGTGTAATTCAGGTGCTCTGCTGACAAACACACATCTTCACTGTAACTCCCCTCAAAGATGTGGAACAAAGTCTTCTGTGAGTGGCCCAGAAAACACCTGCAGCACCATCTCTAGGCCTCTTGCTGATGTTTACCAACAAGAACAACAACCAAGTTTTCTACTTTTCCCACCACTTCTCTTACTGTCACACGTCACCACTTATTTATAATCCTCCAGTATTTCTGTTTTTCAGATTATGAAATGGAAAGTCCTTGATCCCTTACACTAGACAGCTTATAGTCCTTTGAGACTCTCATTTCACCTTAACTTTAAACAAAATTCCAGTAAATAAAATTGCTTGCTATGTAAAAGACATAACTCATTTCCCTTTGAATACAGGTCACAATTATCAATCCTATCCCAAAGAATATCATATGGAGAGGGAGAAAGAAATAATTTTATACTGGAGAAACCCAGCAAATCCTATGTGACTGGAGACTCTCTTAAACATCAAGGATAAGTCATATTTCTCGTAAGTACACTTGATATGATATGTTAAAAATGACATTTTTGCCACTTGGTCTTCCTCCATGAATACAAAATCCAGTTAGTGATTAAAAAAGCAAAGACATTAAAAAAACCTAAACTCCATTTTAAAACATAATCCAAAAGACCTGATCAGCTTTCCTCAAAATTGTTGAGACTACCCTCAAAATTGATACTGTGAAAAACACCGCAGCTTAGAGGAACCTAGGGAGACAAAGGAGCCCAATGTGGTATGGGATTCTGGACCAGAGAACAGGTATCCGTGGGAAAGGGCAGTGAGAACTGCGTAATGAACGCAGCTTAGGTTTGCGCTGCTTTTGCGTCTGTCTTCTTTTTCTCTTTCCTTCTCTTCTTTTCTCTTCGCCTCCTTCCCTCCCTCTCTCCCTCTCTTCAGACTATTGAAATTGATGTTTTGACTTGACTGAAGCATCTTATGAAGGCACAAACTTTGGCTGTCCTGCCAGGGGACGTAGTGATTCTTAATTAAGGTTGCCTCAGATAAATTCTCAGTTCCCATGTGGTATAGGCCTGCCAAAGTGTTACTTAAAAAAAAATAGCAAAGTTAGTAATGAAAAAAAGCAATAAAAGCAAAAGATAAAATTTTACTTGTGCATTTGGAAGAAAAATAAGACTTCCTTCCTGAGTGTGGCACTTGTGAAGGTTCCCCCCTCCCCCCGCCGCTTTCATATAGCGCAGAGGTTTTCTCATCTTCCAAAGCTCTTTTAGCGCATCAGAAGGGCTCTTGTACGTGGCTTATTCTCTCACTTCTTTCTTCCTATTGCTAAATTTTCCATTTGTTATTTCGATTCAGCCAACACAAACTGTGGGCCCTTACCCAACAAAGACAGGCGAGATCAAGACTGCACGTTGAACCCTTGAGCTGCAGGGAGTGGAGAGTGAACCCCACCCGTTGTCCCACAATAGGCAATTGTCTGATGTCAAAACCAGCTAAAACCACAATAGCAGATGGAGATGAAAACTGAATCCAGAGGAGAAGTAAGATGGCCCTAGTTCAAGTGCAAGCCCCACCGTCTAAATGATGATCCCTCTGCTCTTTGTAGACAGAGCCCACATCTGTCCTTTCCTCTTCGGGATGAGTGACTTTGAAGAATATCAGTTTTTCCGTTGTAAAGTAGCAAATTTAGACAATGCCTGCCTTAACCACTGTTTATGAGACTCCCTATGACCTTTAGCATGTGGGAAATAACTTGGGGGGGTGGAGATGAGGACAGATGGTAAAACAGTGTGGACAGAGGATCAATATGGAGGTCAGAATAGTCCTCCATAATCAGAGGGACCTTGGAACTCATTGGTTTTACTGACTTTTCTGTTAAATAGGGAAGGCATTTAACAGCTCTCTGCAATGTGACTTTGCGATTCCTCAGGAAATAAAGTTGTGACTTGTTTTGACAAACAGAATGTGGTAAAATGACAGCGAGCAGGTTCTTACCCTGTATCTCAGGAGATTTTATGTTATTTTCTTTTCACTCTTGGAACTCTGACCATCACGTGAGTAAGACAAGAATAGGCTGCTAAAGGCAGAGAGATACCTGGCTTCATCACTCCATCAGCCAAGTCAATAGTCACCAAGTTCAGAAACAGAAGGGCCTAGCTGACCAGAAACTAGCCTCAGATGCATGAATGTGTCCAGGTAGGACCAGAAGAATCATTCCGCTGATTCAACCCAATTGCAGATCTATGCTGCAAATGAATCACTTACTTTCTAAGCCAATAAGTTTAGGGGGAGTTTGTTATGAAGCAGTTGGTCACTCTTAGAACTTTCTAATCTATGACTTAGTGAGCCAGTCATTTTTGCTGTGCTTGTACCTGAGGGTGGAGGGCACACTTTTCAGGGACTGCTTCTGGCCAAGGAGGGCACATCAAGCACCCAGTGTCTCTCTCATCTTGATGGTCTGCTGAGTGCTTCTGCATACTGCCTATACCACCACCATATTGGCTATTATAAGTTTCCTATACCATTGTCAAATTTGCTGATATAAAAGCTCTACCAGACATAATTAAAACTTAGTCCTGGAACCTGTTTAGTTTTGTCTTGAATTAACGTTCATTATTAACATTTAATATTGTTAGTACTGTTTGTATTTAATTAATACTAACCTATCATGACTCAATGCTCACTGAAGAAAACAGCCAAGAGCACATTTGTTTCATCTTTCTTACCCTCTTCTCTGACAGTCACATCCCTGAAAGTAGAAGCATCTTCCCTTGTTGCTGCATTTTGACCTTGATCATCCAAACCACTCATTTGATGGTCTGTTAAGTTGGAACTCATTTTCTGCATTTCAAAGTAACATAGTTATGTGATGAATAACCTCTGCTATGAGTTCATCACAGACAACAGCTCAAATGGCCCCAGTGAAAAGTCAAACTCCTTTGTTTCTGTTGGGGCAGGTATCTGGCTTCCCACAGGCTTTTAATGACCTTTCAGTCTTCCACTCCATCTTTGATTCTCTTTTCATCTGTGCTGCCTTGACTTCAGGCAGACTTTCAATAGGGCTGGTGGAAGCCAATCTCCCATGAGCTTCGCTGAGTGGGGTTTCCAGAGGAGGGTCAGATGCCCTCAGAAAGACCTGTGTGGACAGGCAACTAGCAGTTCCTGTCACAGCGGAGGCTTTCAGGCCTACTGTTACAGTCACTTGGAGGAACTATGAGAAATCATAACATACAACAGGGACTTACTTTGGTCTCAGAGGTGACCAGGGCATCAGCATTTAAAAAAAAAATTCTCCAAGCAGTTCTAACACAGAGACTTGCTGCTGCATCCAGGCTATTAATAACTAATTATACCTTCACCCCTGGTATGCCTTGTAATGCTCCACACTAGTCTAAAAGAGTAGTTTCCCACTCTGGAGGAAGCCTTGGGTCAGTGTGGTATAGTAGATGGAGGGGTGGGCTCAGGCAGGCCTGGCAGCAAGGTTAATGGCCCATAATCTGAAGCATATTAGCAACTAGAAGCTGCTAGCCTTGATGACAACTTTTCGAATTAAATTCTGAAGAACTTTTGTTCCAGAAAGTCGCAGGACATCCTTAATTACAGAACGAAGACAGCAGGTTAGCTTCAGCTGTCAGAGGCTGCCCCCAACCCCACCCCGCTGGGTTAAACGTTCAGGGCACTCATTGTAAATCCAGGACCGTTCTGTCCGCCTAGCGGGGCCTGACTCGCGGGGACCCCATGGGCGGGAGTGGAACGTTTCCATCACTGCGGCTGCGGCTGCGGGTGGTGGAGCGTTTTCTCCCAGCTGGTTGGAGGGCTGGCTTCACCTCATCTCTCCAGAGAAGGGGAACGTTCTGGCCAATCAGGAGAAGCCAACTGGATACTGCGAATGTGGGATGAGATGGCAAAAATCTGTTCGTGTTGCTGCGGGAGATATACGCCTCTCGGTGTGCAGAGATGCCCCAGAAACAGGCTGGCTCTGGCAACTGCGACAACCCCAACCCCGGGGTGCGTGGCGGTGGGGGACGGGCAAAGGAGGAGGTTGCTTGGGGCTTAGTACCCAGAATTCTTTGTTTTCCCAAAAGCTGAGCTCTGGGCAAACCATACTCAGGGTCTTCTCTCAGGATTTTAATCTTGGAGAAATGAAGAGAATACTGAAGGAATTACGGCCGGACAAGGAAGGGCCAGGAACCCCAACACCCGATTTCTGCTAGCCCTCCTCCCTGAACCTCAGTTTTCTCTTCTGTAAAATGGGCACTAGATGCTGAGACTCGCTCGCTCTTCTGTTCGGGAGATTACGGAGGGGCAGGCAGAGGCCACTCGGCTGCTTGTCCTTGGCAGCAACTGGCATCTGTGGGACAATGGAGTGTGTTTGAGTCCCCTCATTTTTAAAGAGCAAAACATTTTTTTCACCCGTTCTTCTCTTCCCTCCTGAGCATTTTGGCCACGGTGTCAGGAACATGGGCCTTGGGAGGCCGTCCCCTCCCCGACAGAGGGGCTTCCTTCCTCTGGTACCCGGGAGTGGGGATGAGGGGGGGCTGTGCCCTGGGGGTAGATGTGAGTGCGAATTCCCTTCCGGTTGTTTCGGTTTTGTTTTGTGCTCTTCTCCCGCTCTCTGCCTCCCTCCCTCCCCGCTTTTCTTCCACCGCTGTTTACTTATCACCCAAGTTATGACGCGCAGGGCGCCCTGCCAAAAGCGAGGGCCGCAAACTCATCAGGGGGCGGATTAGAAGTCGCTGCTCTAACGGAGCCTCCGGGGGCAGATGGAGAAATCAACAAATAGTGACATCGCAGCGCCCAGAGGGCTCCTCGCGGAAATGAGCACCGGCTGCTGGCGAAGCCCGCGGGACCCCTGACCCGGGGGATGCCCCGCCCGCGCCCCTCGCCTCCGCCGCAGATCCCCGGCCGCAGGGTGCGCAGTGACTCAGGGCGCCGCCGCCCGCGATGCCAGCAGCCGCTCTCTGCGGCTCGGTGCGACACGGTCCCTCCACCCACCGCCCCCGCGCCCTCCCCGCCGACTCGCCGGGCTCTGGCGCCCCGACCTTCCGCCCGCAGCCCGCGCGCGCCCGCGGCCGCCGCTGCCAGGGGACCCCACTCCAGGAAGGCCTAGCCCGGCCCCCGCAGTGCTGTGCATCGCCAGGGCTGCACCCGGAAACGGAGAAACTGGAACGCGGGAATGACTCAGGGTTTTCGAAGCGGCCAAGCCTCCGCAGAGAGGCCTCATTTCAGGAGAAGTGGGAGCAAGACACTTTGAAGTCCCCAATCTCAAACACAGGTCCCTGCCCAGAATCTCAGCTCGAATTTCTTAAGAGTAGAAATACACATCATTTACAGCTCTAAAATGTCAAACCGATTTATTTGGATGAATGCACAACAATCAGGTGACCCAGAAAAAAAAAGAAAGAAAATCTCCAAGCCTTGAGAATCCTCAGAATAACCATTGTTGGGTTCTTTAACCCCTTGGCCTTTCAGTCGAACTTTGGAAGTCAACAAGCAACTAAGGTCCTTTTCAGTCAAAAAACAACCACAACAAAAAAACAAAAAAACTCCGAAAGGCACATCTGGGCAAGGTCACCCAAGCTCCAGGGGGAAGTACCGTAGATGCTCCTGTAGCTAGGATTGAGCTGGAGGCACTCTGCCCCTCCTGCGTCACTAATCCTGTTTAATGACAGCAGGATGAAGGGGCCTCCTGGGACTTCGATGTGCCTCGACCAAGATGGGCAGTGACTTGTTTAGCGAAGTTCCCAGCTTGCAGGCTTGGCTCATAGAGGCAGTGGGAAGCTGCCTGTTTCTTTAGTCCCTACCAGCTGGTTTACAGAGAAGACTGCCTTTTCTCCATATCGCAGTCAAGGTCACATTTCTGGAACCCAAGTCAGACTGTTCTTTTGACTGCCCAGGCATCTTCTCATCCAAAGTCATTACTAAGCTGAGAAGACCTTCCACCATCGGGCCCTGGGGTTTCTAGCCTCCCAGACTTCCATTCCCCCTCTCTCTGCTCTAGCCATACTGGCTTTCTCCTTGTTTCTTGGACAGACCAAGCACCCTGCTTTCCAGCCTTCAGGCATGCTGTCCCTTCTCCTCAGACCACCAGCCCCTAGAGGCTCACAAACCATCCTGTTCAAAATAGCACCCTGTGCATTGCAGCTTTGGTCTGTATCCCCCTAACCTTTGGTTTTCTTGACTTCATTATACTTCATTGATCTGCGTTACCACAGATCTTTCCTGGACTTCCAGTTCCTTGGGAGCAAGGACTTTATCTGGTAAACAGTCCCAGTCTCTGCACCTATCAAACTGTAGGTGCTCAATAAATATGTGTGGAAAGAATGAGGTGAGGTCAGGCCATGGAATTTGTTCAACTGCATGCAGTTGGTTAACCGCACAAGCAGGAATTGAACCTGGTCTCCTCTTGACCCAAAACTTTTCTGATGCCTCACACTAAAGCTGGTTCATGAAAATGAACCAAAGTCATTTGACAGCGACCACTGGGTAAGCTGGGTGTCTTCTAAACAAGATGTGTTGTTTAGGATCTTCTGTAAACATAAATGATCCATCCCTTTGGAATGCAAAAAATGTTTTTTTGTCTTTTTGAGACAGGGTCTCCCTGTAGTCCCAGCTGACCTGAATTCACTATGTAGACCACGCTGGCCTTGAACTCACAGAGATCCGCCTGCCTCTGCCTCCTGAGTGCTGGGACTAAAGGCGTGTGCCACCACGCCCAAGTATTTTTTTAAATGTTAGTTCTAATAGATGCTAGGGGTCTCACAATGCAGTGTCAGCATTTGTCTCTCTTGTGTCTCTCTCTACCTCTGAAGGCCTGACTGGCAGCCAAAGTGTATGAGGTTTAGGGACTTTGTACTGTGGCTCATGCTAGCCCATTACAGTCATTTAGGAAGAGTAGATCCCACCAGTCCAGCACAGAATCATAAGGTCTGTATTAACATGTTGAGATGTGGTTGGCAGTCATCTGGGCAAAGGGCATTCTAAGTGATTCAGCTGTCTTGCAGCCAGTTTTTAGCCATACCAACTAGTTCCTTTTCTTAGCACTGTCTTATTTTCTTTCTTAAGGTTGAATCTTATAAAGAATATCCAAGAATTTCCGCAGTGCTAGTATTTTTAAAAATAGAATGATGTAAAGAAATAACAGAGGAAAACTGAGTTTATGTCTTGGTTACTTTATACACCAACTGCTCAGACTTCTTTGCACTCTGAATCCTCATTTGAACAGTTAGGGTTCTACTATCCTTCTGCCTGCTGAGACCACCACTGTGAGGGTCAGATGAATTAGCTTAATAAAATGCTTTGCAAGTGTGTCAGCTCTGAGCACTGTAGTGACCAATGTGATGCTATTAGAAACCGTGTGTGTGTGTGTGTGTGTGTGTGTGTGTATGTGTGTGTGTGTAAAACACTGATAACCAAAGCCCAGCTTTCTGCAGCTACACTCAGGTTGGGAGTTATGTATAAAGCACAGCCCACTGGGACACATTAAGAAAAGGATTGAGAGCCAAATGGAAAATCTATAGATACCAAGAGTCAAGTCTGAAATGAGCTGTGCCAGAGATTAAAGAGAAAATGTGATCAGAGAACACACTGGGGGATTTGTGATGCTGAACTGTAGGCCTGTAACCAGGACGAGTTGGAGAAGGCAGACAAATGGCTCTAATCACACTGAGAGGAAACAGTTGAAGGCTGGAAGAATGGGGAGCTCAGGGCTGGCTACTATGTCCTCTCTTATTTCTCTGCTTGCTGCTTACCAGGCAGCATCATACTCGTTTAATCGCCTTTGGGAGGTTATTCCCAGAGAACAAGTCTTCCTTCTTTTAAGTGGGTTATTTTGGATAGCCTTCTCCTACCTCAGCTTGGAGAAGCTGCTTAAGAACTCAGAGATTCAGACCTCTGTAATACCCAGAGAAGCATATAACCTTTTCTTTTTCTTTTTAAATATTTTATTTATTATTTTTATTATATAAGTGTATTGCCTGCATGTATTTAAGTGCACCTATGTCATGCAATGCCCATAGAGGTCAAAAGAGGGAGGGCATAAAATCCCCTTGGATCTGGAGTTATGAACCATTGTTAGCCACCATGTGGGTGCTGGGACTTGAACCCAGGTCCTCTGCAAGAGCAGCCAGTGCTCTTAACTGCTGAGCCATCTCTCTAGTCCCAAGACATATAATTTTTGGTAGGTGAAAGACTGCTATACATTTCTAGGGAGGCAAAAGAACTGGGTTTTCTGGGGCTTTGGAAATGATGACACAGCCAGTAAAACTGAAATGGCAATAAGACCAAAAAGACATTGAA